GGCAGTTGAAGAATGGATAGTTAAGCATTTCAAATTTACTAAAGATGTTATGAATAGTGAAAACAACATAGCATATACAAATATTAGATGTGAGGCAGTATCCAATGAGATTAGAAAAAGATTAGGTAAAACATGCAAATATGAAATTGGAGAAATCTTAATATGCAGACTTTACAAAAAGGACAAGGAAGGAAAACTGAATGTTAATATTAGGTGGAAGGTTGTTAATAACGAAGGATACAAGATAACAATACAAGATATTAAGGATACAGAGAACATTAGAACACTTGACATTGATATTGTAGATAAGCATTTTAGATATGCCTACTGTGCTACCACTCATAGCAGACAGGGGACATCAATCAGTGATAATATGACCATTCACGAATGGAACAAAGATTATTTAGTTTGTAGGGAATGGTTGTGGACGAGTATCACACGAGCGAGGGATTTTAACAATGTCTATTTTTACAAGAACAAAGAGGGAGATGAAGATATGTTTAAGAGTTTGGTAATCAACTATTTTAAAAACAAAGTTGAAGGATATAAACAGCAAGATAGAGTAGCAAAAAGAGAAATAGACGAAGAGCAATACATTGACGAAAACTGGTGCTTAAAATACTTCAAATCCTGTTGCCAAAACTGCGGAATTAAATTTAATCTAGATACAAGAGGAGGAAAAATAAGTTCTAACTTCACTGCTCAACGTTGTGATAATGAGTTATGCCACACAGTTGAAAACTGCACCGCCTTCTGTGTCTATTGCAATTGCAGCGCGTCATGAATAATTTTGAAAATGAGTTTTTCAAAATTATTTTATTAACTTAATTAATGAGTTCAACACAAGAAATTATTAAGAGTGTATATTATGATAGAAGCGGTTATGGTTCAAAACAAACAACCCTCAAGGATGCTAAGCAAAAAGATAGTAGTATTACAATAAACGATATTAATGAATTCTTTAGTAAGAATGTAGAAGAAAAAAGAAAGATGAGAGGTGAAAATAGTTTTATTGCTCCGCATAGTTTCTGGGAATTTCAAGTTGATATGTTTTTCATTTCTAAAAATGATTTGGAAAATCAAACATTTAGAATTGGAATGATATGCATTGATATTTTTTAGCAAATATATGCATATCGTGCCAATTAAATCCAAGACACCGCCAGACATTTTAGCAGGAATGATGGAGAATATCAATAAGATGGGTGGCAAACCGAAATTAATTTATACCGACGAGGAAGGCAGTTTTTTTAATCAATCAGTATTAGATTATTTGAAGGAGGAGAAAATTGAATTACATAGAACTAGAGGTCATCCAGCATTTGCGGAGCGTGGAATTCAGACTTTTAAAGATCAACTGTTTAAACGAGTTGAAGCGGACAAGAAAAATGGAAAGCAGAATATCCAATGGACGGATTATATTTTTGAAATATTATTAACTTACAATAATAAGAATATTCATTCCGCAACTAAATTTACACCGAAGGACGCAAGAATGAAAAAGAATGAATTTGAAGTAAAAATGAATATTACAATGCAAGCAAAGAAAACTAGAATGTATCCAGAATTAGACGTAGGAAGTAATGTAAAAATAATGAGGAAGAAAGGCATAAGCGAAAAGGCACATACCAGTCATTGGATAAAAGAAGTATTTAAAGTAAAATCAATTGATAGTAAATTAGGACAATCTTACTTTCATTTGGAAGGAAAAACTAATCCTTATTTGAGACACGAATTATTAAAAGTTTAATATTAAACGAAATACAGTTAAAGAAAAAACGCCTTATAATATTAGTGAAATGTTGTTTAACTATAACAAGTGCGAATGCTGTAAATGCAAAATGAATAATTTGAGTTTAACCTTACATCATATACTACCGGCAAATGTATGTAATAAAATAAGTGAAAATAATGTATATTGCAATCAATGCTGTATAACAAGAGACCTTGAAAAGTTTTTTCTTGAAGAACATAAGGATAAGGGATATACAAAGTTTCAATTACAATTAAAATTCTTTATGCGACACCAAGCAAGATTTCCTATACACTTTTACCAGAAGATTTCCAGAAAGTCATTTGAAAATGAAATTGATGAATTCTTTAGTAATATAGATTTAATTAGGAGGTTTGGAGGAATAAACGCAATTAAACCATATAAAGCATTTGTCAAAAAATGCCGTTATTTGTTTGAATGGATTGACTGGCATTTATTAGACAAAGATAAAATAAACGAAGTCTTGAACGAATTTAGAGCAACTAAATAAAGTATATGGTATTGCTACAACACTAAATATAAAGTATGTCTATTGTTGTATTTATTCTTTTGGGAATATATTTATTCAATAATAGGAAAAAACAATATCAAATATATAGACATTGGTGATGTAGATAAATATGTAGATTACATATTTGAAGACATATTGCCTGACCATTATTTTAATCCATAAACCTTACAATAAAAAAACATTGTAAGATTTATGATTTCAAAATGACTTGAAGAAATAATAACTTAATATATTATAGTGAAATGAGTGATACAGTCGGTATCAATGCTAAAAATATATTGAAAAACAAGTTTATGAGTTATAAATGTAAAGACTGTGAAATGCTCAAATTACCAATTGAACGGGGTTTTGCAAATGGCGTTTGTAATAATATTTGTCAATATATGATATGCAATAATTGCAATAGAATTATATATAAAAAAAAAATGATGATATGAATAACAAAGATATTGATATTATACATAATGAAACTCTTGATGATGATTTAGAAATATTTGTGTTTATTGAAATGAATAATTTCTTAACTATAGAAGGGTTTGATCATTTATTAGAATGTGACGACGAAGGATAAAATAATGAATTTATTTTTAAGTACTATTGTATGGTAAAAAGATTATACAATATGTCTTTTAATATTAAACGTTTAAACTATGTTGTATTGTTTAATTTTTTAAATGAGTTTTTAAATGATGAGTATAGAATTGACGAACTTAGATATACAATAACACATGCAATTAGAACAATGGGGTTGTTTAGAACAAAAATAGGAAGTAATATTTATAATGAAACAATGTGTGATAAAATAATAGAAAGACTCAAATTAATAATTTAGTTTTAGGCAAAATAGTCCTAAAGAAAAAAACACCTTATATTAATAGTGAAGAAATGAGCGGTATTGAAATCAATAAGTATATTAATAAGAAATGCTATGACTGTTGCCACTTCAAAAAAGAAAATATGGAATTGTATAAATTAAACTTACCTAATGGAATAATAAATAATATTATTGATTATGCTTTGGGTGAAGAAGATTTATGTAAAAATTGTAAAACCTGGAGAGATAACCAAGCTATAATCAGTTGTGTGTTGAGAATAAAAGGAAGACATAATAGAAATGTAGAAGATGACATTTTGATATTTTTAATTGTGTATGAAAGACCACCTTATAGTTATGGTAGAGCATTTCTGAAAATCAGTAAGAAAAAATATGAAATGATTGCAGGTATATTATGGATGTTGGCTTATCATAAAAGGGAAGGGTTTGATGTAAAAGAAGACATTAAAACATATATTGAAAGAAAAAAGTTTAATGTCAAAAACTCAGTTAGAGATATTAATATTATTTTTAAAATGATGCATGAAAGGGGTAAGATGTATCAACAATTTAATAGTCACCAATTAAATTATTATCCTGAACTTAAACTATAAATTAACCCATAAACCTTACAATAAAAAACATTGTAAGATTTATGTGTTGAAATTATAGGGATTTTATATTTTGGGATTTTGGAAAAATATATATTGGGAATTTGGGATTTTGGAAAAATATATTTTGGGAATTTGGAAAAATATATTTTGGGATTTTGGGAATTTGGGATTTAGGTGGTAAAATTGGTTGAGGTGGCGTGCCCCAGTTGGTTAATATGGTTGAAGTGGTTGACTGAGGGGATTTTATCTGAACTGGGGCATGCCCTTTGGTAGGTATAAATCCCCATGCAAATGATGTCCACTGAAGAGCTCCTCAATTGAAATCAACACCCAAATGGCAAATTGTTGTTTTTGTTATCGCCGTTTATCGTTTAGCCAACGACGCACATGATGTTCAACACCTGTTTGGAGCCACATGGACACAGGGATAGGCTGGAAACCCCATTCCAAAAGCCCTAAGTTTGGAAAATGTATCTTCCTTTGAATCCCAGTGGCCTTTGGTGAATTCCGCCAAAGGATGCGACCCACTTGGCCTTTTTCGCTCACATCCAATTCGGCCTCTCCATGATGACGTACTCAAAGGCAGCCACGAAGCGCCTACTGCCGAACCACGCTCCGCGAGCCCCACGGCTCCCTGTTCGTTCGGCTCCAACAAGCACCGCCCGGCCTCCACACGTCTGGCTGGATGCTGAGCTCGTTCCTCTTCACGCATCGGTGGATGTCATAAGCCAACTGGCCGCTACCTGAGGCATGTCACTTCCCAAAACGATCTCAAAAAACCGGGACCAAAATGGCACCCTTGGCAAATGAAACCAAAATAAACGCTGCGTAACCTAGCTCTTTAATTTTGAGCCACACCCTTTGCTTTGCCAATGCCGGTTGGATCTCTATTTTGGAAAAACGCAAAGAAACCCTTTGTACCTGTCTTGACCGTTTCATTTCTCAGTCATGTGCTTTGATTGCATCCGCGGACTCTTCATCATGCTTTGGTAGGACACAACTCGGAACTACACATCTTCCCAACAATCGCTTCGGAAGCTTGATCGGGTTCCTCCATGGTTTCTCAATCTCGCCTGTTTCCTTCCTACTGGAAACCTTGCCCAATCCTGCCTTGCTAACCGGCCGTCTCATGAAAACTAGGGACCAAGAAACAACATAAGTCTATCCACATGTCAATGTGGGTCAAATTGACAGGCCCGCAGCAGAAAAAAGGGGCTACTCATGGTGACCGCCTGCATCCTCTGACCATCTCAGGGCCATGGAGGAATGGAGGGCTGAAAGCTGCATTCATGTGCGATTGATTGCCAAGTCGCCTGCGCCCATTTCAACAACTCGGAATGGCGCTCTCTCCTCCATGTGGAGCCACATGATGAAGACCTTGGAGCAAGCATTGCCGACTCAAACAACACGTTGAGCCTCCATTCGGCATCCGCAGTCTTAGCAACTTGTTTGACACACCAGCCACAAAAACTCCAACGGCCAAATGCCCCAGTTCCCCATTGTTTCCCCCCGCATCCGCCGAGCTGCAAGGCGGCACAACACGCGGCCGAAGTGCGGGGAGAGTGCCATGGGATAGGTCGTGAAGTGAGCGAACTCCTAGGCCACTGCCATGGCCAAAATTCCGGCAATGCTGGATCACGGTGTTCTCCTTAAGTGCGACCAACGAAATTGCTGGTCTCATTGATAAGTTGAAAAGGGGTTGATGACCATCCCTGACCACAAGCAAAAGGGTGCTTTGACCAGACAGTGCAGGACTCAGGATCAGCATACTCCAACACAGGTGCAGGCAACAGTATGCAGCGCAAAAAATCAACGACAAGGGGACGCACCATTTGAACTGTCTTCCAGCCGATCAAATTCGCTGCGGGCCTGCGTGCTCTTGCCATCGCTTTGGCCAAGGACGCGTCCCGTGGAGTAGTAGCCAAAGTCGCTGCCATACCTCCCCCAATAAGCTTTCAAAAGCTCCCACAAGCCCCCATAGAGCCTACGGCTCCAGCTCATGTTGTGCTGGTCTCAATCTGTGACCATGCCCGAGGGTCGCCCGTCTCTCTCCCTCTCTCTCGCTGGCCATATCGACAAGGGCACTGAGCATCTGTATAAAACTCGTCCATGCCGTAAAACTGATCCTGGAGCAAATCTCTCAATCTACCGAATCAAGCACAACTGGGCCGCAATCAACCTTCTCATGCTCATATGCGTCTGTTTCAATGAAGATGTCCGATTAGCCTCACAAGAATTCCTCACGGATCAAGATCGTTCTCCAAGTACAAATCCATTGAGTTCTAGGGCGTGAATGGGCCCTCAAAACCGCCCCCTCCGTGTCGATCTCGCGCACCAGGACGTCTACCCAGCTTGAGCTCCGATTGGCCAGGCAGCAGTGCTCGTAGTCGTATTCCCCTGACCAACAGCCTGGCAGCTTGGCCAATGGGCCAGACTGATCCTACCAGTTGGTGGGCGAGGAAGGCAGAGAGAGTCTGGAAGCTCTGTCTAGCAAACCCAAGGGAACATATTGAAATAAACTCGCGTTGAAACAAAACAGCTACATAGCCAGAATCAGTTCTGTGAATGCCTTTCCGTCCAAGCACGCTGGAGATGTGGGTATGATGGCGCTGCCCCAGTAGTTCCATGTCTGCAACCAAAACTGAACCTTTACATGTGTGCCCACCTATGCACGGGCATGCTACTACTGTCAGTCGAACAGCAAGGCAGTTGACCAACTGTGATCTGAGTGTATCGAGCCATCAAGTGCTCGGCAGCAACAAAAGAAGGACCACATGTGGAACCAAAACGAGAACGTGCCGGGGCATGAATCCAAGACGGAGGAAAAGAATGGAAGATGAGTAAACGCACAGGCGGCCTTCATTTCCTCGCTCGCCGTGTTTTGCGGCACAGCCTGCAGCATGTTGGCCAGCATGTTGCTATGTTCATGCTAAACAATGTGGCAGAATTTGGCCTGCGTTTGACTGCTAGGACCATCTTTAGCAAGCTTTATTCGCACCATGTCACGTCTATCGCAGAGTCGGAAGTGCTTGCAAGACCAAACATGCAAACCTGTGCTCTGAGTCCAAGTGAAGAGCATTCGGCGTAGGTGAAGGCATCCCCGTCCCAACAATCAGCATTGGGGCAGCACTCCTGCGGCAAAACCACGGACTCAACTGCCGACCTGGGACCTGCGGCCGCCCTTCCCTCCTCGAAGCTATAGTCATCTTCCCAACAGTTGTGTGTGGCATCTCCCCGGCAGCACCTGCGACGGAAGGGCCAAGGCCATGCCGAGCCAACGGCAAAACGGTCTTAGGTGGGCAGGAGGCCCTTCAAGGTGTCACCATCCTCTGGCCCCAAACCAACCGCTACCAAATTGGCTGCCAAACCGGCGCATCACGGAGCTGGGCTCCGCCGATCTGGGTCAGGCACGCATCTTTCGAGAAGTCGCCGACCTCACACAGGCGGCACTGGCGGATTGTTTCAAGTGCTGACGCCGGCTGCGGGTACTGAATCGCTGAAATCAGTGCTCATTATCCTGGCTGGGGATCTCAGGCTATGTGCCAAGACTACAGATTTCTCATAGGAAGATATTCGAAAATGAAAAACAACAGAAGCTGACGTAGAGCGGTTCCACGAACTTCCACGGTACTATTGTCTACATGTTGATTATCAGTATGAACATTGTCATGTCCCCTACGATATGAGTTGACCCCATCATCTGCGCTGATTTGTCTCCAATTAGGGGGCCTCAAACCAATTGAGATTCCTTTGGCTTCCCTTTGAAGTCAATCCAAGGAAGATCGCCAAAGAAAGACAGACACGCACACAAACACACAATGTGTGCCATGGTCGACTAAACTCCTTCTGGGGCACGGCAGGGTCATGGCTCCCGTAAACATGACTTGTCCAGGTTCCCTACTAGAGGGTCCATTTTCTCAACTGCCTTGGGTCCCCAGCCCAACACAACTCCTCCGACACGTCGGGGTTGGTCGTGTGCGCGCGGCGCCACTCGCGGGTCTCAGGCAGGACTTCGGGCATGTGAGCCCTGCGAACGTTCCCTGACGCGATTCTTGGGATTGGTTTTGCTTGGGTCCCGTCAGTCCCCCATTGTGGAAGCTCAGGTTGTACCCCAAGTCCTGGTCCTGCCCTACAGTTGACGAACATTGTTAGTGATGTATATATCGTGGCCTGGTATAACTATAAAAAGAATCAGACCTACGTAAACTTTCAGGTGACAGCTTCAAACAAGGAATTCGCAAACCATTGGCAAAACCTCGTGGCTCCTCTCTCTCGCCCTCTCTGTGTAAGGCCGGAACCTTTACAAGCGTGTCGGTAGAGACATCCTGCCAAAACCAAGGGGTTTTGAACAAGCAAGACTCGAATATGCGCGCCTCTGACAGCGCGCAAACCGCCCAGAGCACTAGCCTCAGCTTCTGCCACATGCCACATTGATCTCTGGTGTGGGCCTCTCACAACGGGCCAAATCACATCCGGAAGTTCAACATGCATCATAAGCCCCTTCATGCAAATATAAATGCTGCAACATCGCCACAAATTGCCGACGCGGGAAACGAAGCAAAGCACGAAGAAGATGAGCACCCGGCGGCAGAAGAAAATCACCGACACACATGGGATATTTTTAGGCCCCCGCGATGTCCACCGCATGCCACGCCATGAGATGCGGCGATGGGAGCAGCCGGACTACGAGGGGCCCGACTCTCTGGTGCTTGATCCGTTTCTGTTCGGTCTGAGCAAAAGACAACTCAATGTTGCAAGGGTGCATATAGCGATCCAAGAAATTGGCGCGTTTGGGGCAACTGAGGCTGTGCTCTGAGTTGCACGACTCTGGGGTCTGGGAGGCTGAGGCTTGGAAGCTGGGTGCAGGCTGCAGCTCAAGCGGCTGAGCAGAGAATGGTTTTCCCACAGCCTTGAGATCAACTTCAAGTGAGTGGTCAGATTTGTCAGCTTGCTCACGACATCATGTTTCACAAAACAAATTAGGCCCACCATCAGCTCAAGCAAGATCCAGAGTTTCTGGTTTACCAGGAACATCTGTCAAGGACGGACGGACACTGAAAGGTGATTCACTCCCGTTGAAGTCCTCAAGTTTGGGTTGTCCAGCGTCCACGGCTGATCCATGACAGCTGCGTTCGGCATTCTAAGCTCCCAGCTTCCCTGCTGGCCTCATTGCTCTGTCAGAAGGGCAAAACGATCAAACTGGTGGCGCAGCCCTTTTCTCCTAAGCTCAACTTTCCAGCTGCATGGCGGAGCTGCGCAGCACCTGTCAAGGCCACCAACGCATCAGGGCTCGGATCCCGGCCACCAAGTAGCGCCCTAGGGAGCCATCTTTAAAAAGGTTTTGAGTAGCCCAAGGAAAAAGGAGAAAAAAGGAGCCCGTGAAATCGCAACATCCACCAGCCTTGAGCACCATGTCCCAGCTGCAGTAGGCGAGCCCTGCCTCGCGAGTTTTGTGAGCTCAATGGCAGACTTCCAAGCCGACGGTCGCGTGATACATGTGTCAAACAAGCCAGACCCATGAGGCCCAACGGATTATTCGTGTTGATTCCTGACACCCATGCTTCGATCGGCTGTCTCAGCAACCGGTCCCGCCATCAAAGCCCAGCGGAAGGGCTGCAACTCCGCATAAACCTGCAGGAAGAAGCGATGGTCCAAGTCTTCAAGCCCGCTCAAAGCTAAATCCTGCATTATCCTTGTGAGCAGGGACGGATGCGCCACTGTTTTCACATGCAATCAGGGAATGTTTATACATATCTATACATATATATATATATATATATATATTTGTTTATTTATTTATATATACAAAAACAAGTAGATCATTATCAAGATACGTGTTTACGCATGGAGCATACTAACATTTGACCGCTCAGTCACTCTGCTCCTTTGCCGTGGGAAAGCTGGTTCAACTCCGGCCTGAGACTGGCTCGTGGGCACCTGGCCCAAGCGCCAGGTGTCCTGCGGGGAGATGGAAGACAGGAGTCCAAAAGCAACGCAGGCTCCCCGAAAGCAGATTTTCAGATGCCCCGAATCCAAGTATGTCCATGTGCAAAAAGATCTGAGACCGTGGTGAATAACGTTGTTCCCATCTGGCGGGATCTCCTTCGGCACTCGCCGTTTCTTCCCGCCCGCCCATATCCTGCACAGCAGCCTTCGCGTCTGCCAGAAGCTCCTGGCGGTCCTTCGGGAGATCGAGGATGGCTAGGAATGCGTATTTGATTGAAGGGATCTAAAAGGAACACCCTTGTTCTGCCTTGTTCATGAACTCTAGATGCGCTTGCAACCATCAAAACCAGCTAGCTCCTAAACCAAAAGGACGGCGACCACTTTTGAGAGGTGCCAGGCGGTTGGGGTGGGTGGGTCTGTTGTTGGGGTGGGTGGGGTTGTTGTTGATGTGTGGTTGCCAAGGCTTGCTCACCGCAAGGTTCTTGGAAGTGGCATTTTGCCAGAAGCCATGTGATATGCAAAGCCGCCATTGTCTGGCTCGGGCTGAGCACGCTGAGTCGTGTTGGTGTTGTTCCTTCCACAAACGTGGATGCGCAGATTCTCTTTCCAAAAGGTACTAGTCTATCAAAATGTGCCTGTGCGCCAAACCATGATAGTTGAAAGGGTATTGCAAGAAACTGCCTGCACTGCTTTCGATTTTCTCCCTGTGGTCGGTGGGGAGAATCCTAGAGAGCGTGAGCAACGAGGGCCAAACTGTCAGCGTGATGCTGATTAGTCTGCAGGCGGCACTGGCCCCCGATTTTCGAAGCGCATACACAGGCGACAGTACCAGGGTTTGACACATTGTCCACATGCCTTGGACGCAGCCCCCGACATGTTCGATTCGTACCGTGGGAGGCTGTCTGAAATGTCATCCACAGTCGGCCCCCAACCCTGAGTAGACTCGGTCATCGCATGCAGTTATGCAGTTCTGGGTCCACTTTCTTCTTGGTTTGCCCAAGGAAGCGGCCATCCCTATGCCCTCAAGAGTGGCTTTCCCAGAATGCCCCCGGTGCAGAGAGTCTGCAGCTTCCACCCAAACATCTGTGCCCCAACTCATCCCCAACTCATTTTAGCCCGTGGGCACGTGCGTGAGTCGGTGCAAGTGACTTTGTGGTTGATATCGTAATCTACACCAGCAGAACTAGGATGGACTGGTCGGTAAACATACAGTTCAATGATGTCAGATCTGTACGTTTGATCAATATCAATGCCAAACGATTGGATGGCCTGGTGCAACTTACACAAATACGCATCAATATACAAGCACATAGTGCGCAGGAGTATGACGATGCGTTGTGAGAACAAAACAACTCAAAGGGCTACCTTGTTGATTGCATGACATGTCGGCCTGCCCGACTTGAGAGGACCGTGCCTCCCAAAAGAAGTTCACAGCCCAGCGCGCGCACACCAAGGCAAAGTAGGCCTTGCCCAGCACAGACTCCACAGCCTCCTACGGAACACGCAGCCGCAAGGTAAATTGTCACGCCCACCACTGAAATGCGATCACCTCAGATTTGGGCGGACTTCAAATCCAAATGTTGCGTCTCTCATTAGTAGAATTTCCACCACGGGAAAGCCAACCGTACATGTAACGCCCCAAGCTTTGACCGCCTCAGGCCAACTAGAAACCCTGTAAGCTGTCGAGCCCCAAATAAATTGTGCACAACCGATCCAGGCCTGGAGTCGCTTGGGCTGTGCAGCCCAAATCCTTGCAGGAATCGTGCGCCAACGACGCGAAACATCCCCAAACAATTTAGTGGACATGTGGTAGGGGAAGCTATTGTATTGCTGAAAGATGTTCGGGGGATCATAACTTGCCACTAAGACAAATAGATTTGTTCTGAGGACATATCCAGCTAGCGGATGCTTTGATCTACCCTCCCCAGGCGATTAGCAGATCAAATGTCCAGGCATCCTTGTGAAACTGCTGAATTTAAAATTTCAAGAGCGCACGTGCAGGTCAGAGAGCGGCCACATTTCCAAGCTAGAGCAAGACCATGATTGCATCATGTTGACTTGCTTTTGCCCATGTGTAACATAGTTTTGGCCGCAACATCAAGCCTCTGATCGGCGCGCATGAGTGCACCGTACCCAACCCAGCTATGCAGTTCGCTTGGCCCCATACCTGCGGCATCCTCGGCGGCAGCAACGCTTCAGCCTTGCAAGATGGCAGAAGCATCACACTTTGACACGCTTGGCAATTCACCTGAGGGCATGCACACAAGCATTCTAGATTTCTATCGGACCTAGTCCTCAATGAAACGATGGAAACTTCAAATCAACTATATGAGGATACCAAATCTAGTTGATAGCCTCGGGGATAACTTGAAACCAACCGTTTCAGGGGAAACGTCTGCTATATTTTGATCACCGCCTGTATTGTTGAATCCGGGTATTCGGGATAATTGTTCAACAATGCAGCAATCAAATTCGGATGCTGCAAGTGAGATGCTAAGGAATGCGTATTGCCCAAAATGTCAAAACTCAAACACAAACATTTGTGTCTGCATCACGACGGGCCTGTGGCTGGGGAAAACAAAACGTGGCGGAAATATCCGAAAATGCGTGCTTTGTTTTTTTGGGGGAACCGCAAAAATCCTTGCTTATCTTTTTGCTCCTCAAACATCACAAGCCCAGCCAGTGCCTCGTTCGAAAACTGCCACAGCAGCCCATGGCAAGCCAGGATTGTATAGACAACCACTGCGCTGTTGAAAATGGAGGGTTTTCCTTGAAATTGATCTATGAGAAGAAACAAACACAGCGCTACGTGCATCACCCGGGTTCCCTTGCTCAAAACCATACACACCTTGAACATGAAAATTGCATTTGTTTTTCAGTACATCTGGACACATTGCGCCATTCTGCTGGAAAAACAAACCACATCCCGCCTCTGTTTGGCGAAAGTGTTGTTTGTGGTTTGGTCATGGTCCATGTCAAGAGCTCCTTTTGCGACACAAACATTTTGGGGGTCATCAGCGCCCCCAAAAACAGCATCATGCCACCTTACGGCTTTCAGCTTCGAGCCAAACAAAGACAATGCCATCAAGGGTTTCAATGGGCTTCCCTGGACACAGGAGGGCTACGATATTCCCAAGGTAGTTGGGGGGAAAAAACGAACATCCTCCGGCTTGACCAAAAACGGCGCTGGTGCCCAATACAAGCCCTCTCCAAGGGCCCGGTGCCAGAGGGGCACAAAGCCAGGTCAGATTGAAACTCGGTTGATTAAATATGCGGACCAGAATTTGTCCCCCATTTTTCTTATTCTGGTTCCCCAGTCCCCTATTTTTGTTGATTTGGGGCGGGGGGGGGGGGGGAACATGGGGTGGACAAAACGATTAAAATCAAGTTAGAAAGAAATTATTCCAGTGTAGACCCTACACAGGTTGTGAGCACCACGCAAGTCAAGCCAACAACAACGCGGGGTTTTCAACACCTT